AAAGTTATGAAATGAATGCAGTTGTCTGATGGTTTGGCTTGAGGTGTCTCTACCAGTGGCACTCCCAGGTTGGATTGTAAATACCTCTTTACTTGCATTATCTCTTCTGGGGTTAAATCTTGAAATACTTGGCTGCCAGTATCCTGACCACCTTCCTCTTTACCATTTTTCTGGGAAGAATTCTCACATTCTGTGGGTTTTTCTCCTCTATTTCGGAAACTCAAGACTAAGATAATAATGATGACGACGCCTATTGCTATGAGAGAATAAATCATTTTCAGCTTCATTTTTCCAAACCTATGGACAAAAACATAGAGAATATGGTTTGTTAAATTTCAAAAAAATGTATATTTTTAATCCTGGACACAAATATTAAACACACTTTTTAAGCAGGTAAATTTCAAAAGTATAAATTTCTTGCATTTACAGAACACTCTAGAAATTGTGCAAACATAGCAATCTTATATATTCACAAACTCAATAATTTTACCATCCATTCAGGATCCTCTTTTTTTTTTTCATTAGTTAAAACCAGGAAGTCAGAAGAATACAAGGCTGCACACTTCTAAACTGACTAGAAGTTGAGCTCAAAGCAAGTGGGATTTTATATTTTTAAGAAATAAGTCTGCAATCTCTGACTATGCACTGTTGATTATATCGGAATTATATGTAGATTGAAAGGGAGAGTAAATATTATGCAAATATTTTTATTATCCAAATTATGTCTTTTGAAAACATACCATTCAGGAAGTTTCTGAAAGAAGACTAGAAGAGCATTGAGATTCAACAGATTTCTGTCCTGTTATCAGACATGAGTTGCTCCCGGTTCGGCCCTTCGACCCGGTTCGGCCAAACCGGTAGCGGAATTCAGGCCTGAGTCACAGAACCAGCAATAAAGATGTGTCTCCTCCCGCATAGCAAATACAACCAAGTTTAGTATCTTATTGCCTTCTCTTAAAATACAATATCTCTTTCCCCCATGTTCCACCTCTTATGTATAAACAAATCCTTAATGCCTGTCATTCATCATTTTGCTGAACTTTCACAATCAGCAAATGTTGTGTGTTACTAGATAAAACAGCACTTCATCTTTAACTTTGACCAAATATACTGACCTTATATTCCTTCTTTTTACTTTTAACAGTCATAAACTTTAATCTCTTCAAATAATTTCATAAAACTTGATTTCTTTTCATTGGTCCTTCTTAAAAAATTCTTCAAAGCTTTAAGAAGTCTTCTTTGTAAATCCAATATAGGAAAGTTATGCAGGTTTGTTGTCTATCCCTTTTAATTATTAAGGCTTCCTTTCTATGCCCTACATATCATCAATTTCCATATATTCTTTTAGCCTGTGATTTTTAATCCACTTTCAGGTCAGTCTCAGTCTTCTGCAGTTCTTCTTTGATAATGACTTGAAACTAGAACAAGCAGATTTTATATGATGTAAAACTCACAAAGGAAAAGGGGGAAATCATCTGCGTAGGCAGAAAAATAAATGCATAACAACAGTTGTTTAGGCATTATCTTCATTAAAATAAGTTTGCTGAATGATTTGATGGTGTGATAAAAACGTTTAGATATTTCATTGACTGTGTTTGAAGAACATGTCAAACCAGAAACAGCATCTTTTTGGGCTCATGACATTTGAGATTTGAGAACATGCTTAACAGACAAAATAGTTGTTGGAGAAGAATATTGTGTTCATAAAAGATGTTATATAAAGCTTCTTGGATTACAAATCACCATAAATTGTCTTTACTATCTCTGTTGTT